TCTTCCCGCAATCTTAATTCCCGTCATCCCTGACCACTGGTCCTGTTAGCTAGGGATCATGGGAGTTGTAGTCCCAAAACATCTGGAGGGCCAAGTTTGTCTATTCCTGGTGTAGATAGCACTGAGTTAGATAGGCCAAGGACTTGGTTGGGTGTAAGGCAGCTTCTGAGGCCCCTCTTACTGTTTGCTTAGCACCTGTAACCAACCAGGCACTGCAATGCCTTGAGAAGCAAGCCCTAATCTCTCCCTGACCACAAGCTGTCCATCTCCTCTTTCTTGCCCTTAGGTGCTCCTCATCGTGAGCGGGAACTTGAGCTTCCTTAACTGGCTGACCATCGTGCCAAGCATTGCCTGCTTCGACGATGCTGCCCTGGGGTTCCTTTTCAGCTCCAAAGAACAAGGCCTGAAGGCCAGAGTGCAAGAGATGCAAGCCGGAGAGGCAGAGGGGAAGACGGAGCCCTTGCGATGCGGTAAGTCCTTCTTGGACTGAAGCAATACAGTGGTCTGATGGGAAAACACAGACACCTATGTACACACAAGGTTCTTTGCCACCTGCGTTTATCCTCGCAACAAACCTGTGAGGTAGGTTAGGTTGGGAGATGGCGACCAGCCCAGCGAAGCGCTACTCAGAGTACACCCATTGAAATTAAAGAAAGGATAAGGGTGAAAATAGACAGGTATACATAGATGTACATTATTAGTTTATTATTAATACAATTGATATCTTTTTTAAAATAATATTTATTAAAGTTTCAAAAGAAGAAAAATCACATTAATAAAAAGATTAACAATAAAAAGGAAAAATACAAAGTAGAAAAAAGAAAAAACAGTTAAAAACAATTCCATCTTTTCATCACTTCTTTTACGTTTACTTGTTTCCCGGACCTCCTCATACCTCCCTCTTTTGTATTCCAATTCAATTTGTTAATCCAACAATTCCTTTCCCTCCTTTTTAATCCTAATCTTTAATCTTGATATATTATAACATTAAATTTTTACATGTTAAAAACCAATTTTTCCATATTCTTTTGTACCTGTACAGCTAGAAACCACTTAACTTCAATCCAACATCATTCTAACATTCATTAATTTTGCAGTATTTCTGTAAATAGTCTTTAAATTTCTTCCAATCTTCTTCCACCGACTCTTCTCCCTGGTCACGGATTCTGCCAGTCATTTCCGCAATTGATATCTTAAGGTAATAGTTTACTAGAATGAAAAGGTGTTGAAAAGGACGGGAAGTCAAAATTATTTACTAATTTTATGATCTGAAGACTTCCATTCTACTGTTTGAATTTTGTTTCGATAAGTTTGATATATAGATAATGATATGTCTTGGATGTATGGATTCAATTATGGCTAATAAAGCATTGAAAAAAAGAAATTAAAGAAACAAAGTTAGTAATGCTCCTTCGTTTCGATGTGTCTACTCTGAGAAGGACTAGCATTTGATATAAATAATAATATTTATTGTTGCAGGGACAATGTCCTATTTTGCTAGGCTCAGGGAATGCTGTATGGCTGCAACAATAGTATTCTATTTGGTTGGTTGGTTGGTTTTAAGTTTCTAGCCCTCAGGATTGCATTACACACACATCTTTCTTGTTTTATTTATCCCACCTTTTCCTCCAAGATTCTCAGGGTGGTGTACATGGCTGTCCCTCTTCTCATTTAATCCTCACAACAACCCTGTGAGGTATGTTAGTCTAAGAGATGGCACTGGCCCAAGGTTACCCAGTGAGCTTCATGGCTGAGTGGGGATGTGTACCCTGGTCTCCCAGGTCACAGTCCAATACTCTTAACTACTGTACCACACTCTCTCTATATAGAGACAGACAGACAGGTGTGTAGTGGTTAGAGTGCTAGACCTTGGCTCTGACCTGCTGTCTCTGCCACCCTGCCTCCTCTGCCAAGTTGTGTAAAAGCTGGCCAGGATCCTTCACAAAAGGCACCTCAACTCAGCAATCCTCAGGCAGACTTGGGGGGGGGGATTAGCATGAGGTGTCCCAGTCCCAGGAATGTGTTCATCTTTACATTGACCAAGTTTCTCTCTCCTGTTATGTTTCTGTGCAACATAACAAATCCTGACTTTTCTGAAATACCCACCCACTTTCCCAGGGGTCCAGACCTCCCTTTTCAATGAAAAACTGCTCCCAAAATATTCTCAGACTAAACAGTTTATCAGGGTAGCAGAAAGGCTTAAACAAGCATTGTTTCCCTGCAGAGATGGAAAAGAGGAACTCTCCGTGCTAGTCAGTTATTATTATTTTTATTTGTCTGTCTCTCTGTCTCTCTTTTCAAAAAGCAGCAGGATGCAGCAAGGGTCAGTTTTGCTTATTTGTCCAGTTCTCAGTAGCTTCAGTTTCCTTTCCGGTGGCCATTTGCAATGGTACAGCTGTATCTTAGTCTTTTGGGGATGCTGCCAACCTACTTCCCTGGATCTGTCAATGCATCTAAAATAATAAAAAACCAGCCTTTGCCTTGGGCAAACTGCCCCCCCCCCGGCCAATGTTTTGGACTACAACTCCCATCTGCCATGTTGGCTGGGACTGATGAGAGTTGTAGTACAAAATAGGTCTGGGCAATGTAAGATTTTCAACATTGTGATATATCACCAGCCAAACATTGCAGTCTGGTGATATATCAAAGCTTGGTTGATGGGCATTGCGATTCAAATGGTGTTTGCTCACCGCTTCATGTGATCAGTTGTGCAGAGCGGGCTTACCTGCCCCCCCCCAAAAAAAAATATTTTATTCAAGTTGGCACTCCTGGTATTTCAGACGAAAGCTCCCTTCTCAGATAGACCCCAAGCGTATACTTAATTTCAATGCCATCCAGAAGAAAGAACAGAAAATTCTCCCCAAGCCAGAAATGGCTTCTCTACACCAGGACTTGTTGTTAACCAAGCAGCATTTTAGACATTCTTCTTTTTAGTCCTTTCCCAGACTATTTAGAGAAAAGCAGATTTTCATAAAGATATGGCACAGCCCATTGGCTGAGGCCCGCAGTGTTGCAGGCGGGGGGTGGGGAGGGGAAGGTTGAGCAAATGCTTGTTTTCTTATTGGCTGGGGGGGGGGAATCCAGGTCACAAACGGCCCCCAGGACAGTGACAGGAGGAAACCAGACTCTCCGATCTACCAAGTCACTGTCCTGCCAGAGACCACTTGCAGGGTGTGTGTGTGTGTGTGTTGCACTTTGTATAGTAAGATAAGCAAACCAAAAAGGGGGAAAGGACAAACAGCAAAGGAGTTTGCAGTCCGAATTTTAGCATTGTGATGGGAGGAGAAAAGAGAGTTGTGGGGTGACAAAAGAACAGAGACAGGAAGAGGGGGAATGAGAGAGGGAAGTGGGGGACAGAAATCATAAATGTGAGTGAATGAGTGTTTGGATCCTGCTCTGCTTTGGGGCAATGTTGTCATTTGAGACATCACAGCTTCTGGTCCTTTAATTGTTAAGTCACCGTGGCCTTGATCAGGCTCAGGAAGAAGGGAGAGCAGGAACTACTCCTAGAACTCTGGGTCATTTGCACCAGATCAGGAACAGTTGATGCCAATAGCACCAACATAAAGCCTAAACTAGCCTGCTGAAATCAGAAAACCTTGAGTAGGAAACATCTCTCCCTCTCTCTCTCTCTCTCTCTCTCTCTCTGTGTGTGTGTGTGTGTAAGCATCTCTATGTGAGTTCCAGTTCTGCTCCTGAAAGTCAGTGCCCGCTGAGAGGGGCACCATTTCCCTCAATTCAGCATCCTCCCTTCTGAGCCATTGGTGGACCTCAAGGTTCTAGCGAAAGCCAAGTATAAATCCTGCAGGTCTGAGGCTTGCCCATTCTTGGTGTGAGGCTCAGTGCAGAAGGCCTGCCATCTTGAAAGCCGTTGGCGTCCTTAGAGGGCTACTACATTGCAGGGACCCTCATGAGGTGTTGTGTCTTTCTTCCCCACCCCAGCAACAGAACGTCCCAAGCCAGGCGGGTGAGTAATCTCAGGCCCAGGCCCAAGTGTGGCCATTTAGGCCTCCAGCTTGCTTGTTCACTTGCCTGCTTGGATCTCTAGTCTGGCTGGAATGTGGCCAACATACAGAGGTAAGAATGCATCCAGTGCTCTGCCCACTCTCTCCCTCTGGCCCCTCTGACCACTGGCCTGAAGCCCCTGGAAAGTTGTCCATGAGAGCATGAAGCACTAGGGCCAGAAAAGGTTTCCCAACCCTGTCCTAAGCTGATTCCGGAGCACATTAAATATATGTCCCCAAAGCAAGAATATATCACTTACGGTTTCCACCTCTCCTTTTCCACAGGCTGCTACATCCGCAAGGGAGTGAACCTATCGTTTGGGGTCCTGATTGCCTTCCTCAGCGTCCCGGTGGTTATCAATCTGCTAAGCTCCCGACAAGTCATGAACACATCCTTCAACCCTCTCAGGATAGTCAATACCTACGGGGCCTTTGGAAGGTATGGCTCTCTACTAGGGTCAGGGTCAAGGTAAAGGTAAAGGGACCCAAGACAAGTCCAGTCACGAAGAACTCTGGAGTTGCGGTGCTCATCTCGCTTTACAGGCCAAAGGAGCCGGCGTTTGTCCGCTTCCACAGACAGTTTTTCCGGGTCATGCAGCCAGCATGACTAAGCCGCTTCTGGGGAAACCAGAGCAGCGCACGGAAACACCGTTTACCTTCCCGCCAGAGTGGTACCTATTTATCTACTTGCACTGTGTGCTTTCGAAATGCTAGGTTGGCAGGAGCTGGGACCAAACAACGGGAGCTCACCCCATCGCAGGGATTCAAACCGCCGACCTTTTGATCGGCAAGCCCAAGCGGCACAGTGGTTTAACCCACAGCGGGGATGCTAAATCCAGGGGTCTGCATGCCACTTGAGCTCTTCCAGATCTCATGGGAGGGGAGAGGGATTTTGGAGGGATGCACAGGTAAGATTTTCCGTGAGGTTTAAAGCGGTGGTCTTTGAAAGGGCAACCAAAATCACCAAGGGATTGGAGCACATCCCCTATGAGGAAAGGTTGGCTCAGTTGGTTAGAGAGTAGTGCTGAAAATGCCAATATTGCAGGTTCAGTCCCTGCATGTGACAGCTGCCTATTCCTTTTAAAAAAATAAAAAAATAATCTTTATTGCTTTTAAAACTTACAAGAAAAGAAAAAGGAAGAAAATAGGCGAAAGAAAAAGACAAAATAGAACAGAGAAGAAAGAAGAGAGAGAGAAAAGAAAAAACAATACAATAAACAATACAAAACACAACCTTAACACATTAACCTAAACAAAACAAAAGAACAACAATTTAAAAACTTATACCATACCATTTCATTTCTCTGTCTTTCATTCCCTTATTTCATCGACCTCCTCTCACCTCCCTTTTTGTATTCCACTTCTATTACTTGTTTCAGCAATTCCTTTCCATCTTTCTCTATTTTTATCATTATGAATATCTTAACATATTTTGTACCTTATTTTCCATTAATACTGAAATACTTATTTATACCTAACTCCTTATAACATTTCTGCTAAAGCCATAAAATTTCATTCCAACAATTTTCTAACACTCATTAAATTTACAATATTTCTATATATAAACTTTAAACTTTCCCAATCTTCTACCACCATCTCTTCTCCCTGGTCTCGGATTCTGCCAGTCATTTCCGTCCATTCCATATAGTTCATCAACCTGGAGATCTTCTGTCTGAGGCTCTTAAATCTTTTCCAAGTCCCTTCTGCAGTTTTTCTTCATATTCTTTGATACTCGGGGTGCTGAAGCGCAGGTCTTGGGGGGGGCCCGATCCAACCATGCCCCCATTCCCTCTCGACAGACCAATCAACTCTCCACAGCTAAAACCAGCGTCCATACAATGTCTCAAATCATGTTTCAAGGCTCCTCCAGATCCAAAGGCCCCCACAACTCCAGTCACCTCCTGACCCAGATTCAGGACCCAAAGGTCAGTAAATCTCTGCTTGAAAGAGTCTATCCAACCTTCCTTCTTCAATCCAAGCAGGGCTCCAATCTTCAAATTCTGACTTTTTCTATATTCATTCATAAAAAGCCTCCACTTATAGTCCTCAGTTTGCCTCTGTAAAACTGGGGCTTCCACTTGTATTATTTTAGGTTTAACAACACCAACATTCTCCTTCGTCTTCTCCCCAGTTTGTCCTGTCAAGGTAGGTTCCTGTGTCAAATCCTGAACAATTTCTGTATTAATGGTCACTTTTTGTTCCAAATTAGTCACTTTTTGTCCCAAGTTCTCAAGTTTGGTATTCATAGCGTCCGTCTTCATAGAATCATAGAATCATAGAGTTGGAAGAGACCACAAGGGCCATCGAGTCCAACCCCCTGCCAAGCAGGAAGCACCATCAGAGCACTCCTGACATATGGTTGTCAAGCCTCTGCTTAAAGACCTCCAAAGAAGGAGACTCCACTACACTCCTTGGCAGCAAATTCCACTGTCGAACAGCTCTTACTGTCAGGAAGTTCTTCTTGTGGAGCTGTTCCAACGAATAGCTTATCTTACATAATACAGTCACTAAGGCTCCTTCTGTCAACATTCTTAAAGTCCAAGGTCAATCTCTATTTCACACACTATTATCTTGCGACTGGAAAAACCCCAGCTCCACTCTTGTAACAGTTTCAAAAGCTCCCTCTAGAGGGAAACAGTCTCCACTTGTATCAATCCTTTCAAACACAATTTAAACTATAAAGTTAGTTTCTTTTCCTACTTTTTAAACGCAGATGAGTACAATGGAAACAATATATTTCTCTTATTGCTAGCTGTCAAAAAAAGTCACTCTTTCTGGCAGCCCGTTTCCAGGTTCGGAGCAGTGGTAATTTGGTTTTTCACTCTCTCCTGCAGGCTCACTAGGTCCAAAAATTTCCCCCCTCTTCTCCTGCTTCCAAGGGGGGTTTAATAGTTTTAACCGATGGAGATTTAATCCTTTACAAAAATAAACTTTCCAAGGCTTTAACTTGCAACTTCTTTGCTTCAATCTGTTTACAAAAAAGGAAGGCGGACTTCCTGTTTAGAACCTTCCCGTTTCGATGCCAAATTAATGAATTTAAGGATCTAATTTTCCGTTATACTCACGGGTAGATGTTTAAAATCCAATTGTCCACAGGAAAAAGTCAGCGCTCTCCGGCAACAGCGATGTGGCTTCACTCCGTGAAAGAAGCAGTCAATTCAAAGCACCGCGCCACTCACCCCACTTCGCTCCGGATCCCCAAATCAGGGTTTCCCCGCAAGTAGGGGAGGCGCAAAGGGTGCCAGCCGAATCCCAAGTTCACAGGCTTCTCCCGCCTGTGATTTCAGTGGGTCTCCGCCTTCGCCGTGGTGGTCAGACCCTAATTTCCGCGGAGCAAATTCCTCCCAATCGGAGGAACTTCGCCATTGCCTGGAGGCGCCAACCCGGAAGTCTCCGACAGCTGCCTATTCCTGCATTGCAGGGAGTTGGACTATATGATCCTTGTGGTCCCTTCCAGGTCTACAAGTCTATGATTCTGCTATCTGGGAAGAAAGGCAAAGGGACAGAATAAGAGATGTATGAGGTTATACATGGAATGAAGGAAGTGGGCACAGAGAAGTTTTCCTTCCTGCTTCATAATACTGGAAGGCACAGTAATCTAATGAAGCTGAATGTTGGAAGATTCAGGACAGATAAACAGAAGTACTCATTCAACTGCACCAGAGGTAGCGATGGCCAGCTTCAGGGGCTTTTAAAAAGAGGCTAGGCAAATGCATGGAGGGCAAGGCTAGCAGTGGCTCCTAGCCACAGTGGCTACGTATTCTCTCCCATCTTAGAGGTGCTGTGCCCCTGAAATTCTGTTGCTGCAAATCATGGCTGTTGTGCTCAGCTCCTGCTTGTGGGCTTCCCATTGAGTCATCTGCTTGGCCAGTGTCAGAACATACACTGACATATGTTTGCCTGACTGGAAGGTGCCATTAAGCATAATACTTCTTGCTTGCCTGGATGGAGGACTGCAGGAGGACGGGTATGTGAATGTGTGTAGGTGCCAGCTTACTGTACAAAGGCAAAATTCGTATCCCTTTGTTCTGCCTGCTTTTGCCCCTGGCCCCACCCACCATTGGCATGTGGCCCCTGGAAAGTTTCCCAGAAGTGAATGTGGCCCCCAGGATGAAATCATCTCCGCCCCCCCCCAAGAAACCTCTTGCAGAAGTTACCTTTTCTTGGTGTGGAATCCAGATATTCTTTAAAAACAAAAAAACTAACAATAGGGCACAGTGCACCCCCAGTGGCTGCAAACAACCCTGTGTGTCTTGGCACTCCCACCTCAAGTTAGCTCTTTCCCCTCCCTCCCAGCAAGCTCCTGCTACTGCAGGGAAGCTCCTGCCAGAATCTGTTGTCCCGTCCTGATAGCCTTGCAAAAACTCAGCCTCTTTTCTGCCACATCATTAAGAGCCTTTGGCGATGAGTTGGAAAGGGGTGTAACCGCTGTGCCTCTTCTTCCACCTCCTGAATTACCTTCGGAGGAGTGGGGGTATATTGTCCTGCCGTTGTTGTTCCTCCCTCTTAACTCCTTCACTCCCTCCCTCTCACTTCAGGTTGACCGTTTCCCTTTCGACAGTTACCAGAACCCTGCGAGCATGCGATGAAACCCCTGCTATAAATGCATTCGTAATTCCAGCCTATGTAAACCAATAAAAAGAGGATTGCAGCTCATAATGAATATATGATTATGTGAAGGCTGACATATTTTGAATAGCACAGTAGGAACAGGCTTTTTATTAGTAATTTGGTGTCCTGGATTTACAGTGTGTTCGTAAGCATCGGGCAGTGGGCCACCTCTCATAACTCAGCTCACTGAGCAACAGTGGTGGGGCGGGGGGGGGGGAGGTCCTTGGCTGGGGCAGGGGCTGGGAATCTGTTGAACTGGAGGTAGGGATAATTCTAAGTGGTCCCCTTTAGCAGCAGCCAGCCAGTACTGGACCCAAGGAATGTGCTCTTTTGCCAGAAGACAGTGATCAAATAAAATAAGAGATGGCTTAGTTGAATCAGGCCAGAGGACCATCTGCCCCACCCAGCCTGGTGCCTTCCAGATGTTTTAGACTGCAGAGAAAACTGTCTTGTACCGAGTCAGACCATTGGTCCATCTAGTTCAGTATTGTCTGCACTGATTGGCAGCAGCTTTCCAGGGTTTCACGTAGGGGTCTCTCGCAGCCCTACCTGGAGATGCTGGTAGTTGAACCTGGGGGCCTTGTGCATGTGCTCTTCCACGGAACTAAGATTCTAGTCCTCACTGTTTCTATTAGAAGGGGTGATTTAAGTACAGACTGCAACCGTTTTAGGCGTGTCTGATATGTGTGCAACCGCACATGTGCACATCATGGCAAAGGGGTGAAATGGGGTGGGGCAGGGGTGCAATGGGGTCTTTGCATGCTTTTTCAATGGTGTGTCAAATATACAACATTTTGCTTGAACACGAAATGCTGAGTCAGAACATTAGTCCATCTCCCTCAGTATTTTCTCCCAGCATGTCCTAGTCTGAGATAAACTGAACATAGCCATTCCATTCCCAGCTCTCGCAGCTAACAGGAGGAGCCCTGCTGGATCAAATAAAAGGTATATTCAGTCCAGCAGGTCCTTCCTTCTGTGGTCCACCAGATGTCCATGGGAATCCCAAAAGCATGGCTTGAATGCTACAACCTCTCTCTTCTTTGCTCCTCTGAAACATGCCCCATGAGATTTGGTCTTTGTGCTCTGTTTGGAGTTGCTGGCTTGTTTGGAGTCACTGGCTGCTTTTTCCTCTTGCAACTGCAGGCTGCCCAAGTTCAGATTTGGGATTGGGATTTCCCGAAACTCCAGAGAATAATTCCGCATGTCTTTTCACAGCATCACCAAAGACAGAACCGAGGTCATCATTCAAGGGACGTCCAGCCTGTATCCCAACGACCCTGCTGCTATTTGGGAAGAGTATGAATTCAAGTGTAAACCTGGGGACCTACACAGGAGACCCTGCCTCATAAGTCCGTACCACTATCGCCTGGACTGGCTCATGTGGTTTGCTGCATTCCAGGTGCGTCCCCAACACAGGTATGAGGCTCTAGTGCAGGGATAGTCAACCTGGTGCCA